GCACACTAAACAGGACAATTAAATACACAGATGCAAGAAATGGGCCTCCAGACTGACCCAGGATGATTGGCAGAGCAGTTGTGTGTCAAAGCTTCCACAGTAACACGGGAGAGCAGCAGCAGCAGCATGGAAACCTCAGTGTCCCACCTCCTCTGGAATCCCAGAGGAGATCCAGGCCAGCTCTGTGCACACACAGGCACAAGGCACCCACAGACTGCACCACAACTGGGTTTAAAGGAGAACAGGGAATAACTAATGAAGCACCAGGAAACAAACAAGGCTGCAGGTGCTGTGGGGGGTGTGTGCATGAACCACACAGGTGCCCTGGGGCAGGTGGGACAGATCCAGCAGGAATCTGCCCTGGTTCCCCACATATCCCAGGGTGCTGGAGATATGGGGGGGTTGCTGATACAGTCTGGGGGCACATCCCACCCTGGGGAGGGCTCTGGGGTTGGAGCTCAGCACATCCTCCACCCCAGCACCACAGGCTCCAAGTGCCAGTCTGGCCCTTCCCTCCCAGCACAGCCCAGCTGTGCTCCAGCTGTGCCAGAGGATGCAGCAGGGGGCTGGATGATGGTGGCCCCATGAGGCCCAGCTCACACAGCTCTCTCAGCCCACCACAGGCACAGCAGTGCTGACTCAAGCCCTGCCCATTGTGTCCCTTCCCAGAGCTGCTGCCCCACTGTTCCCTGCTCCACAGGCTCTCACCTCCCCTGCAGGTCCAGCCCTGCTCCATTCCCATCCCTCCACCCCAGTGCAGTGCACTGGCACTTGCCCAGTGCTTTATGCAAGCCTGGGTTTGGCAGTGACATTAACAGGCTCCCCTGAAACAGTGAGATTATGAGCTATACCCATCCAGCTACAGAAATACTAATTATTAGTAACTGTATGAGATAAATGGAAATATCAATGATGAAAGTCAATATTATTGCCTCCTTTGTTCCTGTTTGTTTTATTTGTAGATGAAAGGACCACTCAGGCCGTCTCCCCAGGATGTGGCCTGGAGCTGGAACAGCTCCTCTTGGCAAGCTCCTCCAAAGCTGTGCTCTGATAAGAAATCACACTGCACACATGCTTGCAAAGGGTTCTCTAAATCAGCAGCCCTCAAAAGCAGCCATTGTCTTTGATTGATTCATAAAACTGGAGCTGCTTCCATTCCCTGCTCCAGAGCCAGGCAAGGGAGGATTCAAGGAAGGGAGAAGGTGGAGTGTGGGTGGCAGTGATTAATTGTGGAACATGGCACGGCACTGGGAACGCTCCATGGCTTGGCTGGCTTTGATGCTCACGCCTTCATCCTCCTCACTTGGTGGTTTAGGCACCAAGATGGGAACCAAGGACCCCTCCCAGGCTCTGAGAGAGATTCTCAGGCAAGTCCCAGGGCCCTGCTGTGGCCGGGTGAGCACTCACAACATCAACATTGCCTTAATCAGCAAGTCTGCTCCCTCTGCATGTTCTGACTCAGAGCTGCTGATTTTGGTGACAAGAGACTTTTTTTTTTTTTTTTTATAAGCCCTATTAGCCTTGCAGAGCTAACAGAGCTAAGAGCAAGTGAATGGGATACTAATTTTGGATCACACCTCACAGCACTGGGAGAGCACTTCCTAGAGCAGCCTGTCACCACAGGCAAGCCACGTGCTCCCCACAGCCTTGGGGGGCAGGACACAGCCAGGAGGGAGCCATGGGGTGCAGGGACATTATTCTTGTTCCTAGTACACCCTAATGTGTCACTAAACTGCCTCCACTCCCTTCCAAGCCCTGAGTCCATCACCAGCAAACATCCACAGGAACAAAGCAGCCCTCTGACTCCCGGCTCACCATCTCCAAGGTCAATGCAGTGATCACCTCCCTGCAGTGAATACAAACCATGCCAGCCCCTCAGTGCTAACCAGGACAAACATTCCTGCTGCCTCTCTCCATGTGCAGTGAGAGCAGGAGAAGTGGAAGCCTTGCAGGAGTAATTAGAACAGTCTTTAAAAAGCAGTCAGGCTATCCTAAATATTTCATGGAAGGTAATTTTATTTTTTTTTTTAAGCTGCTTTAAAACCCCTCCTTGCCCCTTGGAGCATGTCAGGGTGCAATTAAGCAGAAAGTATCAAGGCATAAACCCAAAGAAACAAACTGCCATGCACACCCACCTCCACTCTCACTTCTTCCCTGTGGTTAACATTGATGTGACATCCCAAAGCTGTGTGTGCACACGATATCATCTCCCAGCCCAAGACAAGAGAGAGCTGCGTCAACTGCTAGAAAACCTCCCAGAGTCACGAACACAGTGCCCAGATTGTTGCCACAAAGAGTCCCTGATGGTCCCCACCAAACCCTGAGCATCAGACACTGTGTAAGATCCTACCAGTGGGCTCTGCAGAGCTGCTGGACATCCAGCAAATGGTGACAGCAACAGCAAATTTCCTGATGGTGACATCCAGCAAATGAACTCCAAGTGCCACCCTTGGGCAGGGCTCTCTGCCTGGCTTGGTAGATTTTTGGAAAATTAAGAATTATTTTTAATTAATTTAATTAAGAATTATTTTTAACAACCAAAAAATATCTTAATAGCTTTGTCAGCTGTCAGAAGGAGATGTTTGAGAAGAAATCTGTTTTAATCCAGAGAGCCAGGTGGGAACCAGGTAAGGCACAGAACAGAAATGCAGGGTTTGCCTTCGCCCTACTGGGGAGAAGAAACCAACCTTCCAGAAGATTCCACAGACAGCTCTCCCTGTGTGACACTCCTTCCTCCAGCCCAGCTCTCTCTCTCAGCTCTCCCAGTCCCACTGTTTAACCACAGCATTTGGGGCAGCTGAAGACAACAGTGGTCCTGGTGTCCCCACTGTCCCTGGGGACAACATCCTGCCAACCCCTATATATCCCCCCAGCTCATGGGGCTTTTGATGTAACCTTGGAACAAAAAACTTGCTTTCAATAGAATCCAAAACATTCCACAGGGGCTTGGTGGAAACCCTGCTGCAAGTCCATGGCCACATCACCAGAGAGGACATGGGGGATTTTTGGGAGCATTTATGACACATGCAGTCAGAGAGGAAGAGAAACATCCCTCAGAAACCACAGCAGTTCAAAGATCTACTCAGTTTGAACACTAAAAATTCATGCATTAAAAACCCACTCAGGCTCAGAACTAAATAAAGCCTCTGACCACATCACCCAGCCCAAGGTTTGCCGGCTCCTTCAGGAGAGAGCTCCTGTGCCTGCTGGATGCTCAGGCTGAGATCCCTGCTCCCAGCATCACATCCTGCTTCCCTCCAAGCTTCTGGGCAGGGCAAGGCTCTGTGGGGTGTTTGGGACCCCAGCTGTGCCCGGCTGCTCTCTTCTTGCACTGCTTGGTGGACAGAGCAGCCTGAGAAACTGACCCATCTCCCTCATTATCCCAAATTCCCTAGGAAATAACTTTTCTCCTTTTCTCAAAGGAAAAAGCAGAAGGAAAACCAAAACCACCTCCTTTTCTATATACTGTTCTTAGGAAAAACCTTCAGTTTTTGCAAAGAGCACTCTGAAAGAAAAACACCCAAATCCAAACACAGAGCAGATGGTTCTTGGTGCTTATATTTTCAGGAGGACTTTAACCAGCAGGATCATTTCCCAGCAGAATTTTGTTTTAAGAGACAATCACTAAAAATAAATGCACTTCAGAGCCTGCTGTTGAAAAGGTATTTTCACAGAAAACTGCTATTTCCATGGTCCCTGTAGCTGCTCTGCCAGCCCTGACACAGTGGGAGCTCCTCCTTGGAGCATCTTTCACACACAGCTTCTCCCAGGGTCCAATGCACTCAGAGCACCTGTGGGAGCAGGGAGGGACGTCTGGGCTCATTCCTGATTACCATAAAACGGAAAACAGCAACAAGAAGCTACAAACACCTCCTGCAAAGCTGGAAATGCCTTCCACAGGCTCCTCTCACACAGGAATGTGAGGCAAGGTAAGGACAGGTCCCTTTTTTGCATGCACCAGGTTGAGCCTATGCAGCCTGCTCTTTGCTTTGAGCAAAGAGCAACATAAGGGAGAAATATCTGAGTGTGAAAGAGTTCTGCCTCATTCTGATTCTCTTTTCCTGAACCAGGCATGGAGCAGCACCCCTGGGAGCCCCCAGAGAGCCCCTGTGCTCTGCCCAGGTAGGAGTGCCCCTACTCCTGTCAGAGATCCCAGCACACTCCATCTCCTACTACCTTGGACAACATCCAGCTTCAACAAACCCTCCCCCAGCTGTGGCAGATGAAAGACGCTTGAATCATCCTAATTTCTTTTTTTTTTTTTTCATTAGGAAACCAAACTCTGCTCTTCACCGAGAGATCCTTTTTATTCTCTCTCGAGGACTGACATGCTGGGAAATTGCCTCAGCCCAGTCAGCTCTGATGTTTGCTGTCTCACGCATCTCCTGCATCAGGCTGACAGCTCCCAGAGCCGGCTGAGGATGGGGATATGCAGAACAAGCCCAAAGCTGCTCCTGTCTCTTTTAACTGTCCCGGCAAGAACGCGGGGAGGAGCTGAGCCAGGGGAGCCGCGCAAGGAGAACAGAGGCGCTGCTGCTTTTGGAGGACCCTCTCGCCCGCCCTCTCCTGGAGGATAAAACTGCTCCTGCCCGGCATTCCCGAGCTGTCCACCTGAATCACTCCACGTGGGCAGCGTTTGTCCCTCCCTGATGAAACACGAGCTGGAGCAAACCCACACAATCCCTTTACAAAGCCCTTTCTCAAAAGCACCACCATCCAAATACTCATTTTAGAGGCCTCTCCCCCTGGTAAAACACTCCCCTGAGCAGGCACAATGGACTGAACATCTCCCACCTGCCCCAGATTCCCACCTGGAAGCCATCCCCACCAGCAGGGATGGGAGACAGGCACTCATCTGCCTCACCCCCACCAGGAGGGATGGGAGGCCATTCCAGACTAAGGGGGAAGGAAAAAGCATTTTTACCACAATTTTGGCAATGGAAACCAGTCCAGCCCTGGACTCAGCACCACAAATGCACATGAGCATCACATGTGCCTACCTGGGTCAGATGAAGGCAGGATGCTGGGGGATCAGATGCCAGGTGTGCACTGGGCTTTGGCCTCTCCTCTGCTTTCCACTCATGCACTGTGAGCAAAAAGGAAACCAAAATTAGGGCTTTAAACCTGGCATTTGAGAGGTGAGCAGGAGAGAAATTAAAAAGCTGTGAATGCTTTTCCCTCTCAAAACCGAGCTCAGGGAAGCTCAATCTTCATCCAAGCTGATATTTAAAAGTGATAAATCAGGCTTTAACAGACAGAAAAACACAACTACCAAAATTTAGTGGCCTTGCTGCTGGAAGGCCCAAAATGAACTGCTTAAGAGAGCCATTTTCCCACGGAAATAGAGCAGGTCTGTACTTAGTAGAGCATTGATCTGCTGACAGCTACCAGGACAGATTTGGGCCAGAGCACTTGGGAATCATTTGCAGTGATCTCTGAAGAAGCACATGCATGCAAAACCCCTTGGAAAAACACTGTTGTAAGGCACTGCTGCAGCTGATTACAAGTCTAGATGTCACTCACTGGTCAGCACAAGCTGATGCTTCCTTCCAAAAGCCTCCCCAGGCAGCTCAGCCCCTGGCTGCATCCCTGTATCCCAGCCAAATGTTTCACAGAGCCCAGGAACTGCAAAACATCACCAAAGGGCTGAGCTGCAAAAGGCTCTCACAGCTCAGGACCCCAGCAATGAGGCTCAAACTGGGGACACTGCACCCCACAGACCCAGGGGCCTCTCCCACAGATGTGCTGGCATTTGGAGGTGCTGTGTTACAGCCAGAACACTGCCACAAGTCCTGGGGACAGCAGGCTGGGCCCTGAGAGATGCCAGGAGCTCAGTGCAGCTGAGCTGGCACAGGCTGGCAGCACTGGGGTGCCCCAGTTTACCCAGCTGGGGCTCCCTCCCACTGCCACCACAGCTGAGACGTGCTGGAGGTAGGAGAGCTCAGCTGCAGCCCTCCTGCAGGTGGGGGATGACGTGCCCCACATTCACCCTTTCCCAGCACACTTTTTGCTGCTTCAGGAGATGAGGTCAAAGCAGGGGGATGCATTCCTCCTTTCTTGCCATAAAAAGCCATTTCTCTGAGTCCTGAGCCACTCACAGACAGGGCATAGAGGAGCCTCCAGGAGGTGTGAGCACTGCTGGAGGGGCTCCAGTCCCACATGGACTCTGTCTGTTTGTCCTCCCAGCACAGGGACACAGTGCTGGGCTGGCCAGGAGCCTCTCCCTTGCCCACCAGCTTTCCTGGAGCAGTTATCACCCCCAAGATAACCCAGGAAAAGCTAAAGCATCGATTCCAGAGGTGCTGAGTGCTCTTGGCTCTCACTGGCTTCAAACCCAGTGTTGGTGCTCCAGCCCTTGGTGAATTCTCACCATCTCAGCCCCCAGAGCAGCAGAGGACCTGGCAGACAGGTGGGCAGGGAGGGCACAGGTGAGGAGGAGGAGGAGGCAGAGCTTGCTCACCTGCCCAGCCCCTTCTGTGCACAGCTCCTGCACAGACAGGATGTGTGACACCAGTTAATGGTGCCTTGGTTTTTTGGGGGTTATTTCTGTCTACTCCTCCTCAGGATCTCATACATAAGCAGATCTTACAAAAATCCCCACTGCTACCAAAAAAAGTCCATCTGTGTCAAAACGTGGAGCACAAATGCCTCCACTTTAGGGGAACAGAACCTGCCCAATCATGCTTCAAAGGACATCTGAGGTCCTAACACTGATCAAGATCCTGCAGAAGGCATTGGAAAAATGGGAAATTACTTATATTTGGTTTATTTTTTGCTTTCACACATCACTTATTTTAAAAGACTAAAAACATGTTTATAAGTTTAACATATTTAAATGGATCAAAATCTGTTCAGCAAGGATGGAAAACAACTCTCCCACCCCAAACTTCTTGTGGGCTGGGACCTGCTTTTCAATCTTCCACCCACAGCAAATATTTCAGATCCAATTTTAAACTGAAAGGCTGGGGACAGATTGGGGAGAGGACCCGTGTGGGGAACTGTGCCACTGCTCTCCTCACCACCCTGAGCACCCCTCACCTAAAGTCACTCAGGGACACCTGGGCAAGGGATCAGCTGGGAACAGGGGACAATAGAGGCATCTGTGTGTGGGGACAGCATCCAGAGAAGATAAAATGAGAAGCTTTCCTTCCTTCCTCCTCCTCCTCCATCAGCAGCTTTCCACAAGGAGGATCAATGCAGCCCACTGTAACTGCACCGTTGTTCCATTTTTAATTAATGAAAGAAAAAACTAATCATTGAATTAAACTTCTCATTACTCCAGCTGAATACCCTCTAAGTAAATTTAATTACTGTACGAATTGGGTTTCTCCCTGCCTGTTTCATTAGCCACTGATAAAGATGGAGGGAGGGGGGGGGAAAGAGGGAGAAATGAAAACAGAGACGGAGAATGGAAGGTGGGAAACCCAGAGGGACACAATTGTGGAGTTTCAGGGGATTCCAGTAAGGGCCTGGGGAAAGACTCTCCCAAAGTAGGGTAGAAGGATTCCCTCTGGGATAAACCCACAGGGGCAAGGTCCTGCCACCCACACCCTGGGGTCACAGCCACCTGCAAAACAGCCAACAGAGGTTTGGGCACAACCAGCTCCCCTCCAAACAAGGGCAGACATTGATTTCAGACCTGCAGCAACCATGATCCCTTCTGATCTCACCCACCTCTGAACAGCCAGGTTTTTTCCTCAGCAACAAAGGCAGCACCCCCCCAGCACTTCAGCAGGGAGCCAGTGCTGACAGAAGCATGGGAGCACGTGTGAGCAGATCCTGAACACCTGCTGTCCCACCATGTTCCCAGACACCTGCCTGCAGTGTTTGAGCCTTCCTGCAGGAGTGGGAGTCCTGCACAGCCAGGCTGTGGGCAGCCAGGATGTGCCAGCAGCACACTCTTCCCAGGAAATCAGCCCAGAAGCCTTCCTGCAGCCCCTTGTGTTGCTGCACACGTTTTGTTTATGGCATGATTTTGGGGTTTTCCTATTCTCCTTCTATGATTCAGCCTCCATTGCTCCTTCCTGACCCAGGGCATGAACCAGCACAGCAGTTCATGGAATCCAGCAGCCCCCACCAAGCACAGCCCCCTTCCAGCACTTTCCTCCACACCCAGCAGTTCTGTGGGGCTGAGAAGGGTCACATTTGGGGTAGACTGGGGTGGAGAGGGTGTGGTAAATGAAAAGCACAGCTGTTTTCTCCAGCTGGGTGGTGGAAGTGCTCTCCAGGTGCCAGCCATGATGGGATTTGGGATAGGGGTCAGATCACCTCCCTGCCATCAGGGGGCTGAGAGGAGCCCATGCAGCCCCACAGGGGCTTGATCTCCCCCACCCCCCCAGTCCGTTCCTGCTCTCCTCCATCCCCAGAGTGATTTCTCCTGTTCAGAGAGAGCCACAAAAAGGTTCTGGGCAGACCAGAAGGTCCCTTCTGCTTCCCATTTATGTCCCCAAGGTGGGCTTTCCCAAAGAGCAGTTGGGAAAGCAGCTATCAGGGAGGGAATGGCACTGGGTGAGACCCACCACTCACCTCTGGCACCCAGCACAGCTCTGGACCCTGGGGCCACCCCCAGAGCCTGGGAGGTGCTGGCTCCAGGTGGGCTCAGCACAGCACACTCTCCTCTCCAGCACGAGCTCTCTGCTGTAGCTAAAATTGGCTCCCACAGGCTTCTGCCATCACCAAAGTCATTGGTACAGCATGTTCTGCCACCACAGGCTCTTCCCAAGCTCCCACTCACAAACCCCCAACGCTGCCTGCCACGGGCCCCGCAGCTCCCACTCCCTCACACGCTTCTCTTTTGTCCTGGTGATTAAACAGAGAAAAGAAAGTCATTCAGGATGACCAAAGTAATTGTTATTTCTTTGCCAAATTTTAAAGCTGCAGTAATAATTTGAGGCTGAATGAAACATTTTGTTTGGGCTGAAGTGAAGCTTTCATTTTGTTTGTAGGTGGCTTCCCCTCCACCCTGGGGAAAAAAAAAAAAAAACTAGAAAAAAATCAAAATGAAATGTCATCTTGAAACAGATGGCTGAAAGGTTTCATTTTGAAAATGTCAAAATCAAACTTTTCAGTGTTTCACTTTTTTTTTTTTCCCCAGCCAAAGCCACTTGCTAAATACAACCTGAATTCGTGAGCTGAGTCTGTTGACTGAAACCTGAATTTTTTTGGTGCATAAGCTGTTCCCTCTGAGCAGTTTTCTGCAGGCTGGCACAGGTGCCCCACGCTGTGACCCCGCTGCAGCCAGGGACGCACATGGAGTCAGCAGGAACAGTGCCCTGGAGCAGCCCTTCTGCAGGGGCTGTCCTGGGAAGGGAAACCAGAGGCCACAAAGGGAAGCCAGAGGCCAGCACTCACCGTGGCAGCAGCTCTCTGCAGCTCCTCTGGGGGGGCACAGCCGGGCGCTGCAGCCCCGGGCACGAGGGACAGGGGGATCCTGCCCGGCTCATGGGACCCAGCACCGAGCAGGGGGCACCTGGCTCAGCCCCAGACACACAGCCCTGCAAGACAGGAGGGAGGGACAGCGTCAGTGATACCTCTCTTCTGTTTTCTCTGTTCTGTTTTGGTGTGCAGCTTTAGCTTTATTTTAAGTGTTACTGGGAGCTTTTCACAGGGTGGTGGAGACAAAACAATCCTCTTCCAGCTGGAGACTCCAGGACTGGAGACTCTTCAAACTTCAGGCCCAAAGCATGAACAATGTGAGAAGAGGAGAGCAGGCAAGCAAGCAAGAAGGATGAAACTTCATCATTTGAAGCTGGTAATTTGACAGTTAACTCCTATATGCAAATGGATTGAAACTTATAAAAATGTGAGATCTCATGACCAAGCTCTGTTTTGCTTCTATCTTGGAGCCATTGGGGCACTGCCAGGGTGTGCCCTTTGAGGGCACTTCAGTAAATCTCCACTTTATTCCCCTTAACTCCATCCAGCCTCTGCTCCAGCTCCTCAGGGCATCAGCAGCAGTGCCCAGGGATCTGCCCTCTCCACCAGGGACTGCTCACTCCCACCCCCAGCCAGTGCTCCCTCAGGGAGCCCAGCCCATGGCACAATGGCCTTTGCCCACCTTGCTCCAGGAGGGACAATGTCCATCTC